TATGTTAGGTTTCTTTTTTCAAAAGTTTTATTTAACTTTTAATTGACAAATAATAATTGTATGTATTTATGATGTAAATGTGATTGGCACATATCTGTTACTTCAAATATTTATCATTTACTTTTGGTGAGAACATTTAAAATCCTCCCTATTAGATATTATTATTATTAACTACAATCACTCTTCTGCATATGGAACACCAGAACTGATTCCTCCTCCCTAACTGCAGCATTGTATGCATTAACCAATGCCTCCCCTTTTCCCACTCACCTGTCCTATTCCCAGCGCCTGGTAACCACCATTCTATTTTCTACTTCAATTAGTTTGACTTTTAGATTCTGTATGTAACTTTAATCATATGGTATTTTTGTCTGGCTTATTTCACTTAACATATTCTCTATGTTCATACACATCGTTACAAATGACAGAATTTTGTTTTTGTTTCGTTTGCCATTACAGACTCAATAGTATTCCACTGTGTATCTACGCCACAATTCTTAAACTCCTTTTATTTGTTGATGGATACTTTGGTATTTTCCGTATCTTGTCTACTGTGAGTAATGCAGCAATTAATATAAGGGTGCAGCTTCTGTCTTTGGCATACTGATTTCAATTCCTTTCTCTACATACCCAGTAGAGGGATTGCTGGAACCTATGGTAATTCTACTTTCAGTTTTTTGAGGAACCTTCATACATTTTTTCCAAAATTGCTGTACTAACACACAACACCACAAATGCTATGTTTCCTTTCCTCTACATCCTTGTCAATACTTATTTCTTTCATGGTTTTGATAATAGCCACTGTGAAAGGCATGAGATGATATTTCACTGTGGTCTTAATTTGCACTTCTCTGATGTTTAGAGATGTTGAGAATTTTTTCATATATATGTAGGCCCAGTTGTATGTCATCTTTTGAGAAATGTCCTGTTAAGTGCTTTGCCCATTTTTAAAATACAATGATTTGTATTTTGTTATCCGAGTAGTTTGAATTCCTTCAGTTATTCTGAATATTGGCCCTTATCTGATGTACAGTTTTCAAACATTTTCTCCAAATCATGTATCACCTCTTCACTCTATGAAGAAGCTTTTTAGTTTGATGCAATCCCACTGGTCTGTTTTTGCTTACTTTGCCTATGTTTTTTGGGTCATAGGCAAGTCATATCAGCCTAGAACGGTGTCATGAAGGTTCCTCTCAGTGTCTTCTTCTAGTAGCTTTATCGTTTTAGGTCTTATGTGTAGCTCTTGAATCCTTTTAATCTGTTTAGGTCTCACATTTAGTCTTTAATCCATTTTGCGTTAATTCTTATGGCTCAATACTTTGCTCTCTGCATCTGTAGCTTTGCTTGCCACTGCCTCTACACTGTGCATAAAGTACCTGAAATCTTCTGTGTTTCCTGTGAAAGAAGTCTTTGTCACTATAACTGCAAAGTTAAGATTTCTGGACACTAAACCTGGAGTTCCATCCTGCAAGTGGTTGAATTAGAATATAAATTGAGCGTCCAACCATGTAGGGGTATCTTTCTTCTGGGGAAGGCTGGGGCAGCCACAAAAACTGGAAAAGGTGAGGAATAGATTCTCTAGAGCTCCCAGAGTCAGTATGCTTCTGCCAAATTTCTGACTTACTGACTTCAGAACTCAAGAAAATTTTTGTTGTTATATCCCAGACTGTTTGCGACAATTTGTTATGTCAACCCTATGAAACTAATATGGTAGAATTAACACAAAATAGTAAGCCAATGCAAATATGAAGCAACATTAAGCAGCTTCATTTATCAGTACCCACAGGACAATTATAAGCATCATTCCAGTAAAACAGAACACATTGCTAGTGGGATGATTCCAAGAATGTTCAGATAGTTCAGTGTTAGACAAATAATTATGCTGGACTGAACCATATGAAATTATCTTTTGTATATGGCATCATACATTTTTTATATCAACAGTTTCCTATGAGTAAAGCTAATTTTTAAAAAATACAAAAGGTAGGAGTTGCCAATACATAACCATATAATACTCGCTGGTAGTTTCTCTCTTCCCTATCAAGTGAGATTGATACCAACCACGATCATCACCATTGTGAATATTGGAATATGAATGCATCCTAATTAGCACTGTCAAATAAAATAAAGGACATCTACTTAAATTCTAATTTTAAATAAATAACCAATAAATTTTTCTACAACTATGTTATTTGTAATAATTGACATTAATATACTAAAATACCCTACAGTCTATTCTAAATTTAAACTTAATTGGGCATCCAGTAGTTTAAATGATTGAATTTGGTAACACTGAAGATAGCACTCATTAAAAATGAGCATCAGTTATATGGGATTTTTTTAAAACCGACACCTTTAATAGTAATTGCAACTATTTAAAAAGTGTGGAAGATGAGTACTTGAGTAGCTTTCCCAGAGTTACAGTAATAGAAAAATAATAATTATATTAACACTATATATATAACATTTTTGTTGGATAAAAGCAAGGAATAAAATAATGTATATATAACTCTAAAATATCCAGGCATAAATAAATGAGTATAATTTTTTCTCAGTTTCCCTGTACCAGTAATTCAGCCCCACCAGCTTTTCTTTGGAAATGAGGCTGTTAAAATATTTCCAATGCATTAATTCAACTGCTTTTAAATTCCTGTCCCAACCTAAAATAATCAACTCATTTCTTCATGGCTCCACATGGTTCCCATCCATCCATCTGTCAGTTCTGGCAAAAAAAAAAAAAAAAAAAAAAAAAAAAAATCCCTCAAAATGTTTACTCCTACCCTGGAGTAGTAAAATACGTATTAGATGTTCATCAACATGAAGCCGTATGTCCACAGAAACAGCCTTCACCCTAGCAGTAGGTAGGTTAGTATTGAGGCAAATGATACCTAACTTGCCAGGGGACCTGCTAAGAAATGGAACAAGAGATGTGTGTCATCTTGAATGCACAGCTTGATAATAAAATCAGATAGGACTGGAGGTCGCCAAAATCCCTCCACAGATTTCATTGAAAAATCCAAAAGATGTGAAAACCCACAATAATAAATAAGTGGAGGTGATGGTTTTAAAATCCAGTGTTACTGTGAGAAAGAAATGTTAAGCATTCCTAGTAGAGTATACAACTCTGACTTTTAGTTCTAAGGTCTTAAATACCCATATTCAGTGAGAAGAAATTTAGACATCATCAAGCCTACCATATGCAGCAGGTTAACTCCAAAAATTATAGACATTGATCTAAAACTAACAGTAAACCTGCCAGATATTCATCTTTCCATGAACAGCATGCAGGATTCTGACTCTCCAGCTCCTATGAGCCAAGAGGGACCATTTTTTGTTCACGCAATAGCTGATAGACAGCAAGTATGTACCATTTCTAGGATATTATTTAAATTTTGATGGGGCTTATTGATAAATTAGTCAAAGATAAATTCTGACTTATTTTTATAAAGAAGGAAGGAGTCAAGGAAAGAAAAATTTAATGCGTGGATCCTCAGAGTATGCAACTCTTCAAACAAGATAGGTATTAGTTATTTTGTCAATTCATTTCTAGTGTGGATACCTTAGGGAAAATATAGCTTCCAATTGATAGGTTGTAATCTTAGAAGCAATTAACTCCTTGAAAAATATATAACCTGAAATTCATAATATTTATGTCATATATAAATGCGGGTGTATTGTATATATGGTCAAATTCTGAGAATTTGTGTTTTTTAAGATATAAAGATACATACTTTTTTTTGAAAACTGGTAAAATATTGTAGTGGCTTATCCTTCTCAACATCCCTGTGACCAGAGTTTTCTAGGTTCTTAATATATGATTTGGAAATTAAATGATATTTTGCCTCTTGTGTGATCTACAACCCCTGGAAAGTCCAGTTTTCCAAGGGAATTCAGAAACAATGGGGAACTTATTATAAGTATTATAGTACTGATCATTCTGTTTACAGGATCCTTATAAAGATCCTCTTTCTAGTTAGCTATTGCTTGGTTACTATGAACTAAAGGTATGTTTCTTCCTTCAAAATCTGTATGTTGATGTCTAATCCCCACTGTAATGTGATGGTATTTGGAGATGAGATCTTTCTGACATAATTAGGTAATTCGGGTGAGACCTTCATGAACGGGATGTGTCTTTGTAAGAACAGACAAAGGAGAGAGAGTTTCCTGTTATGTGAGGATACAGAGAGTAAGAGGCTGTCTGCAAACCCCAAAGAGGGCCCCTGCCAGACACCAGCTCTGAAGGCATGTTGACGCTGGACTTCCCAGCCTTCAGAAGTGTGAAAAATAAATATTGTTTAAGCCACCCAGTATATGATATTCTGTTACAGCAACCTGAATTGACTATGATGTTGACCCTTATTGTAGAGGAAAACACCTGAATTTCTTCACAAAGAATGATCATTTTCTGTTCCTGCCAAGAAAAGAAACTTTGAGATTGAAGCAGGCTTGTGCAAAATTAGTGGGATAAATAAAAAGGAGAATTTTCTAGTCTGCTGCTTCTCATAGAGCTTTAACAGGAAGACCAGGATCAGTGGATATTTCACCCAATTTAAAATGGAAGACTGGTCTCTGAATCCCCTTCACTCACCTCACCATGGGAACTTTTAACTTTTAAAACTACGTCTGTTCCTCTTGGGTGCACACAGCCTTGTACATCCATCATACTAAATACTTTCCAAATGTTTAGTTCTTATCTGAAAAAAGCACTTCATCTTGAAAACAGTACCTAGCAGTCCTCACACACTCCTTTATCTGAGTTTGTATCCTTTCTATTGATGTACCTAATACCGAATATGTATTATTGCACTAAATACAAAATGTGGAGGTTCCATTTAGGCTGTAGATGTTATCATTAAAATGATTTTCATAGTTTATTTTAAAGCAAAGCTAGAATGGCTTATCTCTATCTCAATTATTTCTTTCCAAAAAGGAAAACGTATAATGCATATTTGAAAAGTAACAGAAATCATAATACTGGAAATCTTATTTTTTCCCCACAGCCACTGAACTATGAGAAAAAGAAGTCATATACCCTCAACATAGAAGGAGCAAATACACATCTTGATTTTCGCTTTTCTCACTTGGGTCCTTTTAAAGATGCTACCATGCTGAAGATCATCGTCGGGGATGTAGACGAACCACCACTGTTTTCCATGCCTTCCTACATCATGGAAGTCTATGAAAATGCCAAGATCGGGACCGTCGTTGGTACAGTTTTGGCACAAGATCCTGACAGTGCTAACAGCTTAGTAAGGTAGGGTATGCTTCAGTCGCTTGGACATTTAAAGATTTTTATTTCCTCTCACATTAATTAAACATGAATAAAATTACACTTAAAATGTTTTATTTCCACGCTGTTTTCTGTGAATATAACTAAATTCTAATATTAATTGATTTTTAACTGAGTAGCTTAGCAGATGGATTTTTGTCACATTAAGAACATATTTACTACTTCTGTGAATATATTATTGACAACACATTAATTTTTCCATTTGACTTAATGGACGTGGGCATAATTGATTGAGAAAATTGTTATAGAGCCATTTAATCATAAACTAAAGAATCCACTGGTCCCTTAATGATAGAAAGTATAGCTATAACACAAAACGTGATGAGTTGGGGATAACAAGCATCTCTAACTGACTCTGGTTCCTTTGGTCAGACTAGCTGTGTGGCTTTCTCTTTATATGTAAAAGTGGAAAAATAATGTCTATGTCTCAAAGCTATTGGGAAGATGCATGAAGCAATATGCATAAAGCACCCAGCAAAGCGGCCTGCACCTAGTAGTCATGCAATAAATGCTAACTTGTCAAAGACAATATACAGTGCAAAATACTCTAAATACAAGTGTGGGGATGCTATTGTGTATACCTACTAGCTGAGTGATCTTTTACAGTCATTTATGGAATCTCAAATTCCAAATATGTGAACAAAAAGTAATAATGCTACATGCTACATAAATATGTTGATATGATTCCGTTAGATTAAAATGAAGGACTTAGCACATTGCCTAGCACATAATCTTGCTCACTAAATAATATTTTTTTTATTTTTAGTACATCGTGCTGGAGATATAATTAAAGTGTTTTTGCATTATCAAAATTATTTGTGTGACTCATTTACAACAAAATCAGAAAGGTGGTGTACATGTGTGAAACTCCTAAGATATCCTGGATTTAAAGGCGTGAAAATTCTGTCTCTAGAAAAGTTAAAATCCTTAGCAATCTTTCTGCTTTCTCCCATGAAGTCCTTGGTTTTCATTCACTTAACAAAAGCTAATATATGAAATAGTCTCGTCAGCATCTATGGAATGATTGTAAAAGTTCTGAATTTCCTTTTTCATAAGCATGATTGTTTCAAGTTAAAAACAATGCCCACAGCACCCATGCATGTAGCCAAACGATTTTCTGAGCACAAGTGTAATTAACAATCCTACTCCACCTGCAAGTGCAGAAACTGTATCCTAACACACTAACAGCAAAAGCTAGATAATGCTTGAAGAAGGAGGATCAGTAAACTATGCAAAATGATATGCGTAAACCAGGTTACAGAAATCAATCTCCAACTGAGGAATAGAGATCAAAGTTAACATGTTTAATTGCTCAAATGGAGGAAAGCCCATTTTGCTTCAATATTCCATAGAATGCTATGTTTTTAATTATACTTTTGACTCCAAACAGTAAGCATAATTTGTTTAGGTTTTTTAAAAATGTAGCACCATAAAAGATTGGTACAAATGAGGATTTCTTTACCAAAAGCAGTCAATATCTTTTGGGATTAGAGGTAGCTCGGGATATAAGTTTGCTGTGAACATATTAAATAAACATTGACAAGATTTTTTTTGAAAATTAAATTTGATTCTACTGATACTTAATGTAATTCTTAATTAAAATAGATAGGCAATGCAGCCATTTATGTTTAATTTATTTTTATTAATAAAAAAGCTGTATATTTTAGGAGATACAGGTGAAAATTTGACACATTCATATAATCAAATCAGGGTCGTTGTGAAACTCATCACCTTAAATATGTATCATTTATTTACACTAAGAACATCAAATCATTATCTTCTAATTGTTTTAAAAGGTACAGTTGAATGGGTACAAATATGTATATTTAGATGGAAGAAATTGAATCTAATGTTTAATAGATCAGTAGCGTAACTATAGCAATCACTTTTAGACTGTTTTAATCACTTGTAATGTACAATATTACAATAGTCCTCAGGATAAAGAATTACATATGTGTGCATGCACACACACACACACAGAGACACACACACAGCATCTTGACTCCCTTTGAAAAAATTATGCCTGTGGCCCCAGCCAAGTTGATGTGTACAATTAACCATTACACTGTATTTAGAGTAATAATGGTCTGAGGGAGGTGTGTATGGAGATTGTACTTCCGAACTTTCTGGAGGCAATGAGCTGAGGAAAATTACACTGAGGCTCATAATCCAATTAGAAATTAGAGAGGTGAAGAATGAAGGAAAGAATTGTAGTTTGTTTTACATGAGGAGCTTGGGTTACCTGTGGGAATAGGAAATCATGAGATTGGAGAGATAGGTTAGATACAGGTCATAAAGAGGCTTTCTGCAATGGTAAGGTCTTTGAAATTAATCCTGGTAGCAATGCCAGTAGGGAGAGAAATTAGAGGAATTTTGATAATTATAACCAAAATGATGACAGGAAAATTTGCATTTCAAAATAAACAATAACATTTAGAATAATGTGAACGGTCAACTATATGTGATGAAATGTAGGCCAATGGGGAGGAATTGAGGTCAAGGACAAATATGTTTTAGCATTATTCTTTTTTTTTTTTTTTTGAGTCAGAGTTTGCTCTGTCACCAGGCTGAAGTGCAATGGTGCCGTCTCAGCTCACTGCAACCTCCGCCTCCTGAATTCAAACAATTTCCCCAGCCTCAGCCTCCTAAGTAGCTGGGACTTCAGATGTGCACTGCCACACCCAGCTAATTTTTTGTATTTTAGTAGAGATGGGGTTTCACCATGTTGGCCAGGATGGTCCTGATCTCCTGACCACGTGATCTGCCCGCCTCAGCCTCCCAAAGTACTGGGATTTGCATGTGTGAGCCACCGCACCCAGCCATTTTAACATTGTTCTATATGTTCCAACATATAAGAAAACACCCTTTTTCACATAGGACTGTGATTGCCACGTGGGAGCAAAATCCACTCCCCCACCAGGGACAGCTGGTAATGTCTGGAGGCATTTCTATTTATTACAGCTTGAGATAGTCTTAGTAACTTTAGACTGCTATAACAAATTACCTTTGACTGTGTGGTATAAACAGGAAACATTTATTTCTGACAGTTCTAGAGGCTGGGAAGTCCAAGATCAAAGTGCCAGCCTATCTGGTGTCTGGTGAGTGTCTGCTTCCTGATTTGCAGAGAGCCCTCTTCTTCCTACATTTCACATAGTGAAGAGCAGAACAGGAGAAAGAACGCAAACTCTTCCATTTGTTTTTACAAGAGCACACATCACATAATGAATACTCCACCAATTTTCTGCCTTAGTTAGTTTGGCTGCTAAGAATTACCATAGTCTTGGTGGCTTATAAACAACTGAAATTTATTACTCACAGTTCTCAAGTCTGAGAGTCTGAGATTAGGTTGCCAGAATTTTTGGGTTGTGGTAAGGACCCTCTCTGGATTGCAGACTGCCAACGTCTCATATCCTCACTTGTTGGAAGGAGATAACTAGCTCCAAGCTCTTCTTGTAAGGGCACTAATCTCATTCACGAGAGTTCCATTATCATGACCTCATCATCACCTCCAGAAGTTTGTACCTCCACATGCCATTACATTATGGATTAGGGTTTAATATATGAATTTGGGGGAGGGAGATAAAGGCATTCAGCTTATAGCAAATAGAGTGTTACTGGTGTCTAGGGGTGGAAGTCAGGGATGGTGTTAAACATTCTGTGACTCACAGGAGCAGCTCCTACAGAAATTATCTGGCCCCCAAGTCAATAGTGCTAAGGTTGAGAAAAGCTTACATTGAGTAAAACAAACTGAAAGATAAATTGGTAAAACTGGAATACTAATTATATTCATGGTTATGTGTCTATATGTACAAATCATATACATGAATAGTCATGTGAATGTTTCAATGTATACTTTCAATCAATTAAAATATGATGCCATTAATTGTCTCAGTAATTTCCCTATATCATTGGGAGCACTTAAGTGAACACTCACTATGAAACATGCACTCTCCTGGTTGTTGAGAGGCAAAGATGATTGGTACATTGTTTCCAAATGCTAAGAAGGAAAGCATAAATCTATTAGCATATGCATTATTCTTTCTGCTTTGTTTTGGTTAGACAGCTAAAATGAATGCTGCTAAAGCTGCCTTAAAATAATTAGACTCCATAGCTGCTGTTTGGGGACACAATTTACGTAATATTTATTCTTGATTTTAATAAAAATGTGTCATTCACATGGGGCCCTGGGTACAAATAGTGAATAAAAAACAGAAAACATTAACAAAAACAAAAGGAAGCTTTCTACTTCCACCTTCCTCAGGGACCAAGTGTTTGTACTAATTAAGGAAAAGTGCATTGAAAAGATGTACTTTGCAATGTGCCCTGAAATGCAATTAACTCCAAGTTTGTGAAGTTGAAAGTGTACTGAAAGGGATTTTGAGTTTTGCAAGCATTTGTGAAAAGCTTCCTGACTTCAGTCTTTTGTATTTTACTATAGTACATTTATACTTAAGTCGTTTGTATTTTACTATTATACTTTCATGAATTATTAGTAAGACTCTTCAGATTTCATAGAGGATATAATGTCTAGGTTTTTTGTTTAAACTCTAAACAAGATGTATAATTTGCAGCAATATAAAATATATGTAAAATGTAAAATGAATTATTGTTGAGTGTAATCACCATGTCAAGCTATCAAATACCAGCTGTTCTTCCTTTTCTCTAAATATATATATATATATATATATATATATATATATATATATATATATATATTTTTACCCAGTATTCATCCCCAATTACCCACCACATCACCACTACCTTTCCCAGCCTCTGATAACCATTATTCTACTCTCTATCTCCCTGGGTTCAATTGCTTTAATTTTTAATTCCCATAAATGCATAAGAACATGTGAAGTGTGTCTTTCTGTGCCTGGTTCATTTCACTTAACATAATGTCCTTCAGTCCTATCTATGTTGAAAATGACAGGACCTTATTCTATTTTATGGATGAATTACTGTAT